TGCATTGCTCTATCACATCTGGAGACTCTGGTCTTTGCCTCCCTGCCTCAGTGGGACCACCATTCTCTGCTTGGATTCTACCCACTGTCCTGTGGTCAGAAAACCATCCCCAGGTAGAGATCATGAGATGCATTTCATGAGTATTGCTTCTTTCAGGATTATAGTTTTGTGCTGCTTAGTGTTTATATCCTGAAAATGGCAGCTTCCCCTATTTTTCTCAGTCTAATAGTTATTTATGGAGGGAGGACTCACCTGCTACTGATTACTCTGCCAGAGCTAGAAGTGGCCCCAGAGCCCAGGGGCCTGCTCTGGATGGATTGATGTCCAGGCTCGCTGCTTGGCTGTTGTCTTGGGATCTCCCTCTACTACCATGCAAGGGATTCCTTTTTTTTCTCTTTTGAATTCTCTGTTTTCTGGAGCCCACATTTTTTTTTTTTTCTATTTTTGGTAATTTCTTTAGGTAGAGGAACCCTCAGTAGTTTCCTGAAAAAAGATGGCAGGAAGGTAAAATTTTTTGAGGCCCACATGCTGAACATGCCTTTATTAAACTATTGCACTTGACTGCTAGTAGGTTGGATAAAGAATTCTAGGTTGGAAATAATTTTTTCTCAAAATTTTAGGCATTGTTTTATTGAATATCTTATGCCATGTGGATCTTTTGTATGAAAACTTGAAATCTGTTTTTTTCTTCCTTCCTCTCTGAAAGTTTTTCAGATATTTTTCCTCACTGTTCTGGAATTCCCTGTCATGTGTTTTGTGTGGGTCTGTTTTTCTCCATTTTGTGTGTGCTTAGTGGGCCCTTTGGAATTTTCTTGAAGTATTTCTTTTACTTTTACTTTTCTTTTTTTCTTTTTCTTTTTTTTCCCTGAAACTCTTATGCCATATTGGACCTCCTAGACTTGTTCTGCAATTTTCTTTTCTCTTTTCCATCTCTTTGTATTTTTTTCTTTACTGTGGATTTCCTCAACTTTATTTTCCAAACCTTGTGTTTTTCATTTCTGCTATATTTTGGATTTTCAAAGCTCTTTTTTCTTTTTGAATGCTCCTTCTACTTAAAGTGTTCTATTATTGTTTCATGGATTTTTTTCTATTTCTGAAAATGTTAATGATTGTTTTTGAAATTGTTGCCTTTGCAAAGGTTCTATATCCTTCAAGTTGTTTTTCCCCATGTTTGTTTGGCCTCTTTTGTGTTATATGCTCTCCTCTGGGGTATAGAGATGAGTTCCTAGTCATTTGGATCCTAGCTTTGTATAGTGCCAAAGTTCACATCTTTTGCTTCACCCTCTGCATGAGCTAGCAGACACCATGAGTTATGGAGTATGGAGCCTGGTTTACTTGGAGCCTCTCACAGCCGAGGAGTAAATAGGATATCTCAGGACTGGAGGATTTTATTTGGCATGTTGTGGCCCAGAGCTCGTTAACTCTCGGACTTCTCTCAGGGGGGCCTGGGGAAGAGGTCACCTCCACAGTGCCAGAGTCATTAACCCTGCCCTCAGGAGCTGTCTGTGAGGCCTCTGGGGGGTCTCTCCACACCCCAGACAGACTAGGGAGTCTCTCACACCTTGAGAACTAGATAAAGAGGCACTGAGAGTGCTTGTGCTAGAGAAGGAGCATAGATAGACAGCAGCTTGATGTAGATCAAAGGTTCATGTTCATCCTCAGAAAGCCCCAAGAACCTGTGATTTATGGAGCAGCAAAAGCAAGCCCTGAGCTCCTGAAAGCCCTGGTACCTACCTGCTCTGATGCCCATCCACAGTTAATCTCTTCCAGTACCAGAGCTGGTAATCTCTGCCTGGTGTGGGAGACCTCCTAGCCTGGGCACAGTGTAGGTCTAGGTCTGCCCTTTATCAGCCCCTCCCCCTGCTCTATCTTATGTCTGTCCTGTCAGATTGCTGCTTCTACAGAAAGCCAGGGAAGCTCCTGCCACACACGAGCACCTCTCATCCATGGCCAGTGTCCAGGAGGGCAGGGTAGCAGGCACTGATGGGTATTTGTTAAGTGAAGACATGGACAGGAAAAGATGCCAAACTTCTTGTCTTTGACCACCCTGGATCAGCTGATGGTAAAGGTGCCACAAGAAGACTCTGCCCGTTGCCTTCCCCAGGCCCTCATTTTGCCTCAGCCTAGGCCTCCTTACCCTCGGGTTGTGAGCATTTTCCCACGTGTTGCTGAGGAAGAATTAGAGAACCCTAGTTCTGGGGGAGACTTATACACAGCCAGGTACACCAGTGCATTTATAAGCCCAGAGAGGGGAAGGCACTGGAATTGCAGATAGCCAGCATCATGGCATACCTGGAGACAGCTCACCGGACTGTGAGCTGCTGGAACTCTTCTGGTTCACAGTGAGCCCAGTGTTCGTGGGAAGGAGAGCACACAGAGACCCTGGGTCTAGTGCACTTCCTGCTGCAGTGCAGAATACATCCCTGTCTTCTCACTACCTTTCCCTGGGGACTCTAGAGGGCAGAGACGGGGCTGCCCACCTTCCCTTTGCATCCGCCTGTCCTCAAAGTTGGGCCACTAAGTTGCTTTCTAAGGGCCCAGAAGGCCTTCTTTCTCTCCTGTCCACTTTCTAGTCCCTCCTGTGATAGGCTAGTGGCCTGCCAGTTGGAACCAGAGCTTTGGCCATGGGTGTGTGGGATTGCCTTTCCTATCCCCTGAGCTCAGCCATATCACTAGGTTCATGGGAAGCTCCCTATTTTTTTAGCTGCAGATCTGGGACACAGCCGGCCAGGAGCGATTCCGCACCATCACCCAGAGCTACTACCGCAGTGCCAACGGGGCCATCCTTGCTTATGACATCACCAAGAGGAGCTCCTTCCTGTCAGTCCCTCACTGGATCGAGGATGTGAGGAAGTATGCAGGCTCCAACATTGTGCAGCTGCTGATCGGTGAGCTGGGGGAAACGGGATGGGAGCTGGCAGTGTTCCTCAGGGCCACAGATCCCATCTGTCCATCTTTCTCTCTCCTTTTTAAATAAAGGGCAAGCCAGAGAGGGACTGAACTTGTTCAGGCAGGAATGGAGCGAAAACTTGAACCATGATCTTGCAAATTCTGCTCCTGCTAATCACTTGTAAAATTATATTCAAAATCTGAATTAGAAGAAGGAAGAAAGGAAGCTAACATTTGCTTTTCGGTGTTCATGTATCCGCACAGTAGTTAACACCGGTTAAATCTTCACACGTGTCTTTGAATTTAGTTCCCATAATCATAGCTACTCCTTGTTTGTCAGGAAATGGAACTAAGGCTCAGAGAAGTGAAGTAATTTCTCCCAGTTCACACAGCCTGTAAGCATATACCTGTGAAATTTGAGTTCAGTTCTGCTGATCGTAATTCAGTGACTTGCTCTGTCATAACACACTGTATAGCAAGGCTTCTCAAATGATTTACATGCCTCCAAAGCCTTAAAGCACAGATGCTGAGGACTACCCTCAGAGCGTCTGATTCAGAGGGTCTGGATAGGGCCCATAAATGTGCATTTCTAACAAGTTCCCAGGTCACGCCTGTGACATCTGTGTTGTCATCTCAGGAACCACAGTTTAAGAACTGCTGCCACAGAGGGATGCTGTTACCTCCATTTTTCCTTTTCCTCCTACATAAACTTCCTGGGCCTGGGCCTTGGCTCAAGAAGCTTTGGATCATTTGCGTGGTCCCTGGGATCCTCACCCCAACAGTCAGGCTGATTTCTTCTAAGATGAGACTGTACAGATGGAGCTGGATGTGGCTCTAGCTGGGAAGAGGGTAGCACTTGGTTCCACACAACCTACCTTACATAGCCTGCCTGGATTGGGCTGTGGAAGCGCTCAGCAGAGCTGTCCTCCCTGGGCAGGAATGTAGCTCCATTACCTGGCCTTACACTGCCACTACCCCATCCCCACCTTTTTAAAAGAATTTTAGAGTAGTTTATTATTTGAAAAAAAAGTCAATGAAATTCATAACAGTAACAGATATAAACAGGAGAAAATTCATATGCTCATTTCAATAAATGTAGCAAACACATTTGATGAAATTCAAAACCCATTAACCATTTTTTAACTCTAAAAAGGAAACAAAGATAAAAACAGCAAGAAATTGGATAGAAAATGAAATAAAAATAAATAATTTGTATTTATTATTTACTATGGAATAATACATCAAAATTATGATTTTATAAAAAGAAATAAAAGAGAAAACCACTAGTCAACTTAATCAAGGAATCAAGGGAAACAACAATATATAAAATAAAGTAAATTGGGAAACAACCATTGAAACAGATAAAATAAATATGAGACTACTAAAAGTGCTTAACAAATATATTTGAAAATCTAGGAGATGGATAATTTTTTTAATTTAATTTTTTTTTAATTGACACTAGTAGAAATTTTTTTTAAAAATTTTTTTCTAGATGCCTACAGCACCTGGTATTTCCAGGTGGTCTCCCATCCAAGTACTAACCAGGCCCGACCCTGCTTAGCTTCCAAGATCAGATGAGATCGGGCACATTCAGAGTGGCATGGCTGTAGACTCTAAAATTTTTAAATACAATTTTTTACACTTCCCTTTTATCCAGGACATTTAAAATAAAACATTTTACACAAGAGCATTTTACACAAATGCAAAAATAAAACAATGTAATGAACTTCAGATACCTTTCACCCTGCTTCAGCAATTAGCAATTCATGTTCCTTTTCATCTCATCCCCTCCCTCTCTTGTATTGTTTTCGGGCAAATCTCAACACCAAACTATTTCATCTATAAATATTCCAGGATGAATCTATAAAAGGTGCAAACATTTAAAAATATATAACAACAATACCATTTTCAAATTTAAAAATATTGACATCTCCTTAATAAAATCAAATAGCTGATCTGTGTTCAGATTTATAATTACGCATAAATAACGTGTTGTTCTTTTTTTCCAGTTTGTTGGAATTAGGATAAGTTCCACACACTGAAAATGGTTGCTACATCATTTAAGGTTTCCAAAGAAATTTTAGATCTTTACAGACACTTATCTATTTTTTATCCTCCCTATAATCACATAACAAAAGTCAACCAGTTAGAAACTTTAAAAATTCTTTTAAAAATTGGGTCAAGGAGCAGTTTACCAGATGATTTAGAATGTAATGAAACGCCTTCTACCTATAGGAGAAGCCAAAGGAGTACTCTCAGGTCAAGTGATAGTCTGTGCTCTTACTATCAGAAAAGCAAAGTAACCAAAACCCCCAGTCTTACAGAGAATTTAAAAAATGTCAAGGGACAATAGGAGAAAATACATAATAAGCATAATGAAATTTTAACCAAAAAAAAATTCTTTAGCAATGCTAGATTTCTGTTAATTTCTACATTTATGGAGTGCCTACCAAGTGCCAGTTGTTTTCAAGTTTATTGTATCATTTACTACCTATACTACCGAAGGTGGCATCATAGATGGGGAAACTGAGACTCAGAGATGAAGTAACTTACCTAAGGGTCACACAGGAAGTAAAAGGAAGCTGGAGTTTCTACACAGATTTTCTTCCAGCTCTAATGTGTTCATTTCACTAAATTTTATTGCTTATATAAGTCTGGCAAAGATTAAAAAAAAGAGAGAGAGAGACTAAAGGATAGAGTAAAAAAAGCTTTAAATTACAAAGTTGTTGTTTTTTTTAAAGATAGATTACCATGCACAACTGGTTAGTTGACAGAGGGCAGGGAATGGCATTGCATCTCTTGGCCCTGCCAAGTAGGACAGGG